TCTCATCTAGAATTGTTTTAACCACGGTGCATTATACATTTGTGAATTGTACTGTTAGCCAGACTGGTTTTCTTTAAAACCTGTTGAAAGATGTGCACCACACTGTCTCATAGATGTGTAAGTAAGAAATATTACAACACAGTAGCTGGCAAATCAAAGGTCAATCACAAAATTACATGCTTTTCCATTTTACATGTGACCCTGGGATAAAACATACAATCACTGAATGATTCTTAAGAAGACTGTGTTTATTCAGAGCTTTTCATTGCTCAAAAGGTTAAATTATGTTTGTCCAGACTTTGCTTTTGTATTCAGGTCTTGGCTGTGAAGATCATGCTGTCGTTTTGTCCTTGTCACAAGACAATAACACCTTCCAAACAGCAGTAAAGAGTCACATGATTGTCTAGAAAATGACAGTGACTTTTATGTTGTCAAAACCATGGCAGATCTATGACAGTAAGTTTACAAGGGAATAACCTGAGTGGCCATACAGTATTTTTGTACTGAGCTTTATTCTAGTAGATGCATTTTAACACCTACCGAAAACAGTGCTTTATTTGATACATTTTAAATAAATTGTCTGGAAATTTGCAAAGGAAACCTCAGTAAATTCACATTTGAACTAAATGCCAGATTGTGGCTAAACTGCTGGCCTGGCATGTAAAAGAAACATGTTTCTTGGACTCAGTATGGATAATATAGTTATGATTTGTTACTATTGTACCACTCAGGGGCGTAACTAGAAATCACAGGGCCCCATTTTGTATGGGGCCCAATGATTTCTAGTTATACCCCCTGCAGAGCCCACTCGAGATCCCACCTGAGGGTGAACCTGTAAAGCCCACCATAGACAATCTATGGTGGGCTCTGCAGGGTCACCCTCAGGTGGACTGGTCGCACTCCTTACCTGGAGGAGGAGGCCTCCATCGCCGGGCCAGCCTCTTTCTTCATCACCGGGCCCTGCCTCCTCCTCTGCTGCCGACCACGGGCCCCGCCTCCTCCTCCACTGCCGCTGCTTGCTCTCATTAACTCTGTGGAGAGGAACGCGCTGCTGCACAGATTACTGTCAGTGATCTGAACAGCGACGTGTACGTCTTCAGCCGCCAGTGAAAGCCACCAGCAGGATCCCATAAAGACCCAGGCGGCCCGCACGGCATCTGGCCGAGCCCAACTGTGCCCCTGGCCCCATAGCGGCCACCTGGGTCGCTATGGTGATTGTTACACCACTGGTACCACTGCTTAGTATGTTAGATTTTAGTACCAGTGGCCAGGCATTGTTAATGCTCAGTGCAGGGCTTTTGGCATGAAAACCCTATTGAGACTAGCAGTCATGCATCAGTCTTTTGAAAGGGATATTAAAGTCAAAAGGTTTTTCAGCTATTTCAAATGCTGAAAAAATCACTTACAATGGATGCTGCTCCTTGATGTTTAAAAGTTTTAGTTTCCTGATATGCTGTTTTAGGTTGATTCCTTTCCTTTGTGGAGAAACCCTTGTGTGTGTCTTCACAAACACACAGTCACAGCATGGCAACCCCCTCACCTGCTCGCTGCTTCTCTCTCCTCCTTCTCCAAGGTAGTAGACAAGAAAAAGCTGCTGGAGAATGCTCCCTTGTGATCTTGTACTGGACAGGAAGTTCAGGAAAGCCGAGCTGAGGGAGTCGGAGCCAACTGTATAGAAACATGATGAATGTAAAAGTTTGAGCAAAAATGTAAATAAATATTTTGCTGGGAATGTATATTTGTATGATCTGGATGTATTATTGAAAAACAATTGAGAGTTTAATACTGCTTTAAAGTGACATTAAAGTCACATCCGCCCCCATGTTGCTTTAAGGACTTCCCTTAAGTGATGCCTCTTGATCCGATCTCCTTCTTTCCAGTAGTTTTCAGGAGTCCCTCCAGTGCTGGTGCAGGTCTCTGATCCAGCGCAGACTCCTCGAGTCCCACGGTGTCTGTCTGACGTGCTCACGACTGCGTGCATTCACCTCCGCTGTGACTCTCATCTTGATGATCTCCACTGCGCATGCGCCCGTACTGAGGATCTTATGCCATCTCAAAAAATAAATATATATATATACACACCACATGGTTCTTATGGCTGCAAGCATCTTCTGCGTGCACAGTCCCACCATGATATCATAACAATGCTATTCACCCTTCTGATGTGCAACTATAGAAAAAAAAAAGTCTGCCTTGTTAGTCAGTTCTGCACCCTCAGCATACTGATTGGACAATGAAAGAGTAGGATAATTCACTCCTTCCTGTATTAATGTTTAGAGATATCATTGTAATTGTTTTAAAGTGTTGCTATGCAGAGGATTACAGGGCGCTCATACCAAAACCAATTTAAGGATAAATGCTAGCTGTATGTGAAAATACATTTGACAATTGTGTAATGATTACATAACCAGATTATTTTTTATTGTTATATTTGCCATGAGTTCTGCTTTAAAAGCAAAATGATGAAATGCAAGCAAGTTAGTAATACGTATGGACATACTTCAGCTATGAAGTGACTACAAATCCTAGCGCCACTGGCAGGAAGGCCAAACTGGATCCGCCAGTCTCTTGAAACAGCTGGAAGGCTGCAAGTTGTCATGTCATATCAGCTTTATACCAAAGATGCATTCAGTAATTCAGCACCAAGTACAGCAACTCACATCAGCTTTCACCTAGGCTTACTGCTGTAGTCTAAAATCTGATTGTTGCTATGGGTTACTGCAGTTTGCATGTTCTCATTGCTATTTGCACTGGTATGTTTCATTAGCCTATGCTTAGCTTATTAGCTATTAGACTGAGCTGGAATTGGGAAAAATAGGGATTTGTATATTGACCATGCCTTATAAGGTCATTATACAATATATTGCACTGAAACATGGTTTAGAATGTTGCCATTAAGAAAAAAATAAATAAAACTTAGGTGTGCTTACAGATATTTGCTATAAAAGTAATGGATGTTCTTAAAAATAAGGGCACATGCTATATTGCACTATTAAATTATCTGTTCTTTGTAGCATAGTACATTTCAGCTATGTAGGCATATACAGTTCGAAAAACTGCCAGATATGAGAATTATGAAAAACAATGGTTGATGCAAGTCAATAACGTTATTAAGCTGTGTGTTGCGGTAATATGTGCATTTTAATGCACATAGCACAGTGCATTGATGTTCCATTAGCTTTAAATTGCATTGCAACGCACTAAATCAGTGTGCAGTCAACGTGCCTGAGTTGCAGCACACTACCATGCATTGAAGTGTGCTACATCAGCAAAATTGACGCAGGTATATTTATATGTCCATTGTGGGGCACTGACAGCTCATTTAATATGCATTAATGCACCTCATCAGACTACATATGGGTAACCATTTCTTTAGTATATGAATAGCGCATATTGGCCAGTTTTACTAGTTTTACTAAAGAAAATGAACAGAAGTGGGGAGAGAATTCTATTGTATGCTTGCATTGCGGGTCTTATGAATAGATGTAATATATGTGCACAAGGTGGTTGCAATCTACAAACCTATCTAGAACAATATGCACTAATGTTGAATGTGTACAGTGCATTCCTAGTATGCCTTGAACTGTGAGGATCCAAATGCTACTGTCTGCCTTGAACTGTGAGGATCCAAATGCATCGATGTGCTGGTGTATTTATTACTAAATCAGCCCCATTTAGTTTTTTATTTCAGTACTCCACAATACATCCAGTCATATGTGAAGAGTTAGTAAATGTGGTCATAGACAAGATATGGGCATCTTCTAATCTGCAGCACCCTGGATAAACTACAAATCACATCCATCGCATATATATATATATATATATATTGCCTTTAGATGTATATATAAAAGTGATTAATGTAATTTGTAGTTCCCCATTTATTAGTAAGGAAAACATTGGCACCGCAGGGATCAAACAGCAGGTGGGGTTAAACTTAATTACTCATACACTTGGGAGTTGCGGATTCATGTATATAGGTTGTACACACACACTAGGAATAGCTTTATCTCTATGATTAAGTCCGAGTGGTGAAATGCGTTAGAATTTTGCACATGGGGGTTTGCTACAATAGTGTATATTTGCTGATTTATTTTAAAAAAACATTGTTTTTACACAGGACAACCCCTGCAGAACCAACTAACATAGTTATGTTTTTATTAAATAAACCATTAAATGCATTGTAAATGCAGCTAGTATAAATATGTGAATCTGTCTTTGTATTGTTCCCCTGTAATTCCCTGTATAGAGCGACTCCGCTTTAAATTGGTGCAAGGCATTTTCCCAATATATAAGCTATAATCATAAGTATAGTTTGCTTAGAACAAAGGTTGGATTTTGTCTTTATCTTTACATTTGAAAGTGGAACTCCAAAATTAACCCTTGTAGTGGGTCTACCCCTGTGCACTGCAAGGGTTAACTGCTCATTTTGGTCTAGAGTCCGGAATATAGAAGATATTCTCACCTGGTCCTTGGTCCTGCAGAAGTCACTGTTGACATCTCTCTCCCTCCACTTTGGCTGCGATATGTCCCTCGGTGTCTTCATGTCTAATGCAGGTGGATGAACCTGCATTAGACGTGATGACATCAGCGGGGCTTAGACTGCTGGAGCGGAGAGGGGAAGAGGCTGCAGGGACTGGCCCAGCAGCCATGAAAAATCGAATATCAGATAAGTATATATGTTTTAATCAGCCCCCAGACATCCACAAGCAGTTAAACCATGCAGTGTGGGGGTAGCACCACTGCAAAGGGTAATTGTTTTTTTCCTGGAGTCCCTCTTCAAATTTTTACAGCAGATTGCAATCTTAACTGTTTTGACAGTGTTTAGAATATTCGCAGATTCGCATATGTTGCAATGCATTACTACAAAATATTGACGTAGCCTTGTATAAAACTGTTTGTATAAATTGTCTGCTTTTGGAAAACAATTGAAATGGTTTAGAACAGTTCCTGACAATAATTGTTTGATGATTAATGACCTTTTCTGTGACCTACAGGGCAATCTACCTACTCTTAGATTATCTGTGACAAGATGATGAGTACAAGTCAAGAGGACGATACTTTGGACACTTTCCTCCAATATATAGAAGATATGGGTCTTAAGGCGTATGATGGCCTGGTAATACAGAATGCTTCGGACATTGCGCGAGAAAATGATCGCTTGAGAAATGAAACCAACCTGGCTTACTTAAAAGAGAAGAATGAAAAACGTCGGAAGCAAGAGCATGTTATTAAACGGTAAATACAACCATTGGACACTAGTCTTTATGTTTTGCAGTTTTCTATTGCTTAACATTAAAGCCTTGCCACTCTAGCTAAAGCTTTTTTTTCAGTTTTGGATAGAGTGGAGAAGGGTTAGAACCTTTAGTATGCTTTTGTTGCTTTCTGTGTCCCTACAGGAAAGGTTACTCTGTATTTCCTGTGCCAGTGATGGGAAGTCAGAGGGCCAAAAAGTGGTGACAAATGTCAAAAATAAAAATGCCAACAAAACTTTTTTCTTTTCATTTTTTTAGGCATAATTTGCTATATTTGTACTAATTAAAGTGTATTTAAACCCAATAACACAAATGTAATATATTGCAGCTTACCAAATCTTATATGTGTTGGCTATCTGCTATTTTTGTTGGACAGCTTGATCTGTTAAAGGAAGTTGAAAAATAACAGACATAATGGCCAGACCACCAGGTAAAATAAAGACCTATAAAGAGAAAACAGCCACCACATTTCAAAATTGGTAAACTGCAATATATTAATTTTTTTCTTTTTGGGTTTAGATATGCTTTAAATGTAATCTCCATCAGGGTTATTCAAGAAGAATGGGTAATGCAAGGGGGGATGTGCAAAGTGCAGTAAAGCAAAACATCCAATCAGTGATTAACTCTTGCTGCAAGTTACTGCACTTTTGCACAGTCCTACTGAAATAAGTATCTATGGCTCTCTGCTAGAGTAATCTATTGAAGCTGAATCCTTCCTAGTGTAATTACTGAATTATTGTTGAATGCCAAACTGTCCATATCAGCTGATTTCCCCTTAAAAAAAGTTTCACTTAAAGCAAATACTGAACCATGCAAATGCTTTCCCTCTAAGGATTTCTAAGACAGGAGGGTTGTTACTTATTTTCTGGAATATGTCATGAGAAATAATATCCCTGATATTCTTCATTTGATTAGAAACACTTATATTCTGTTTTAGATCCTCATGGGAAGTTTTATTGTTTTACAACTGAATACATTTAAATTTGATTTTCACAACAAAATAACAGTTAATCTGAGCTAATTATATTTCAATACAATGATTTAAGGACAGACATTTTTAATCTAGACTGGATACTTAAATTATATTATTGGCCATTATATCAACAGTGTTTATAGATATATAGACACATAGATAATGTATAATAGATAGACAGGCTTCAATTTCTGTAGAGACATATAAATAGATAAATACATAGAGATATAGGGATGCAGAATATAGGTTGTCTCTGCAGATCCAAAGTTTAATATGCAACAGGGTTGGGGTTTACCCAGTAACTATTTGTAAATTATTATATATTTTTCCCCCCGGAATTTTTGCAGAAAAGCAATACGTATCTTGTGTCTTTTTGTATAAAATAACAATGAACTTTAGTAGCATTTTTTTTTACATTCTTGGACCTTTTAATGTTTTTTTTAAAGGAATACATTTAAAGAATGTCAGTCACCAAAGGTCCAAAGAATTCTAAATATGATCATTTCGAAATATGGCATCACTAATCCCTGCTTAACCTTCTCTGGTATAACCTCCTACATTAAACTCTATATGCAAGAGGATTGAAATGGTTATGAAATCTCTCATGCCCAGACCTAAAGACACTTAACAAACTAAATTGAAGTAAGGTGCAAATTGCAAAAAAAGTCTCTCCAACAGGACCGCAAATTGCAAAAAAATCCTGACAGAGACTCTTACCCCACTCTAGCCAAAACAAAATACATTATCTTTGCTGGAGGTGTGCTTTATTCTACCTGCAGATGATCAGACTTTTGTGATCACTTTGTAAGCAGTTGAGATTAGGTTATGGCCTCTGCTACCGTTGGGTTAGCTGTTTGGAAAGTGATGCAGCGTCCTATGATTGCTAAGTCACGTACCCTTTTCCTTCCAGTGTAAGCAGAGCAGCCACAGTTTACTACTGACCATTTACTACTAGAGGGAGCCTAGCATAGGACTAATGTGTCCTCTGCCATGGGATGTGGATGCCATCATGGGAGAATCTCTACTTACTTCTGACACATTGTTCATCTGAGATATCAACAGCCATTTTGGGCGCCCATGTCTTTTAAATAGCACTGCCTGCATCACAAAGGGACCCCCTGTTGTGGGAAGTGTATCTAGGGAGGGACATGAACCTTTTTGTTAGGGATAGTTAGACCTCTCAGCTGGGAGACGGTTGGAGAGCTGGGAAGACTGTGTGGCTGTGGTGCCAGATGCTACAAGAGTTGGCTAGTCTACCAGGTGCTGCTCCAGAAGAGCAGCCCTGGAAGTTAGTAGAGTTTCTGTTACAGAAGTAAGAAGTAACCACTCTCTCAGCAGCTTAAGGAAGCAAGCTTTGTGTAGTCATGTGTAAGAACTGTACCCTTGTCCTAAACTTGTGTCTAATATTAATTGTTCCTTACTGTGTGGAAGATGATTTTAAGAACATCAGAGTGTTACTGCATTTGGGATAAAAGCTTTCCTAAAGGAGTTGTGTTGCCTTGATACCTCTGCTACAAAGTAAGCACCCACTTTAATTTTACAGCACTACACCACATTGCACACTTTAGCAGATCAGGCCCAGTGGCTCTATATACAAAAGCACTTGTAAATGTTCTTCATCTTCTCCCATTACAAAAAACAATATAGGCTGCAGCTTTTATCAACATTTTTACTGCTTTCCTAATTTGCATCAGTGTTTCAACAATGTGAGCCCCTTTGCTACAAAGAACATTGATAAGAGTGCTGATGCAAAATTTAAACATGAACAGTGTGAACGTGATGCTCAATAATGTGAGCTCATACGACTACATAGATAGGTTGATGCCATTACTTGAAATATCACTCTTTGTACAGTTGTAGACAACAAATGAAGACACTGTAAGGCAGGACTGCTGATTGGACATTATATTAGTGTGATGCACCAATATCCATGTTTTCATCAGAAAAACATACTCTCTTACCAGGCGGGCCACTCACAGATATAAGCAAATCATCATTTAGTATAATATTGTTTGCTGTACATGAGCCTTATCTTTTTGTTAGTCAGTGATTGTTCATATCACACTTTTCTGTCAGTAAAATGACTCCAGGCAAGCAGGGAAATATGCTAATGAAATACATATATGGGAGCTGGTTCTGTACCAAATATTTGTATTTCTGTCCAACCAGTTATGAGATTTACACAGCTCTATTACACAGCACAATCCTATCTAGCATGGGAGGAGATCTGTTTTTTCTCTGCTGCAGTTAAATACAGGCCTTGTCCATCCCCTAGTCTGTAACTGGACAGTAAAAGAAGAAGCAGCACACTAAAGAGCTCATCTCTCTGTCACGGTACTCTGTCCCTATCAGTATGTCCCTTAGTAGAACATATGCATTACAGCACAACTGCCTGTCCTTGTACTACTTCTTCTTCTCCAAGTCTGAGCTTTGCTGCACAGCAACAGACTGCATGAGGCTGAAACCAAGTAAAATAATGAATAGAAAGCTGTATTTATTTGTGTCTTGAGTTCTGCTTTAAAGCCATAATGTCTATCAGGGCTATTCACAGAAGGGTGAAGAGTTTGGAGAAGGCAGGAGAAGTGAACAATCTAGGAGAACATAGCTGAACTGGAAAGTGAGCTGAATTGGATAATTTTTTCCAAATCATCTATGTTGTCCTAGATTGCTCACTTCTCCTACCTTCTCCAAACTCTTCACCCTTTTGTGAATAGCCCTGTATATGTCCATATATCTATCCTGAATGTGGCATATCATATTCATGACACATTGGGGTTGCTTTACTAAAGGCAAATAGGTTGTTCACTTTGCAAGGAGATTTGCACTTTGCAATGGGAAGTTTCCCCTTAGTTTAGTAAATGAGGTGAAGTTCTGTTGACGTCCATCGTCCAATCCTGTCTAAGCGAAAATACTGTTTATTTTTATTCTCCTTGCACATGATTGGGCCTTTTTTGTAAAGTGAAAGCTCACCACATTTACTAAGCTAAGGGAAAATTCCCTTGCAAAGTGCTAATTCCCTTGATAACAGCCTATTTTAGTAAATCCATCTAATTAAGTTCAATGTGATCACCAAATTCCTTTACATGTTTGAAATAAGTCAAATGTACTTATTGTTTACCTAGTGTGACTGAAAACTCTTTTTGACAAGCGCTCAGTTACTATGGTAACAGCAAGTGTTTGTTATGTAAAACTGCTATAAAAATATTACAGCTATAAATACGAATCTGATTTCTGCACTGCTATTTAAAAGGTATTCTTCTCCAGAAATATGGGACAATGCCATTATCTTATAAAATCATTTATGATATGACTGAGTTCTTAGCTGAGTTTTGTAAGGGAGATAACTGAGTTGATGTGTAACTGTTTCATGTAGAGTTAGGCCATGTTCACACAGGTGGCACAGGGACCGCCCTGACCCTACTTATAATTTTACATGGCGACCACTCAGAGTTGTGTATATAGGCACTCTTTACAGCAAAATATTTACAGCATGCCGCCTGTGGCAGGCAGTGCAGCTTGCCAAATGCATTCATTGAAGTCATTGGGTACCATGCCACAACCACATTTGTGATTGGCACAGAGCTGTGGCACGGTATTTCAATATTAAATCTCTATTGGGACGGAAAAAAAACCAAGCATTCTGGAGGTAGCAATATTGCCTACTGAACCCCATATCGCTTTTCAGAGGTGTGTATAAACCAGCCACCTGCATGAATGAGAGCTTCCAGTCATGTACTGTTATTATGAAAATATGCTTCACTTTGATAGGCATGTCTAGTTGAGGTTTACACAATTCTGGTACCACCCTCCGAATGCTAGCATTTACAACAAATGGGACTGATGAATACAGGACCTGTATGTATGTTTTCAGGGAAAAAATAATTGCATTTCAAAACCCTGTGCTTGACTTTGGCATTAGCCGTGAACTGTTCGCTTATAAAAGATGTAATTAGGTTGGCACAAGTCACTGCACTTTACCATTCATTGCACTGTTATTAAAAAAAACAACA